TCCCCTTCCGCGGCCTTTATAATGGCACTCTTATGAGTCGACAGTCACATTCGTCATGTTTGTTTGTACGTTTTGGTAATAAAGAACGTTTCTTTGTCAGTTTCTCCAGCGCCGACGGTATCTCGCGGTGAAAAATGACTCACGGTGTCGGTGGCATAATGGATGACGGGTAACTAACGACCTCAACATCTCTGGGAGCGGCGAACCGCGCGATTTGCATTTGTTACATTCAGTAAATATTTCCGCCTTGCATGCCAACGAACGCTCCTAAGTGTTATTGTTTTACGTTAAAAGGGCGCACCAATATCTTCGAGACTTCTTGGAAGACGGAATTCATCGTGTAAACAGTAGGGAGCCATCAGCCAATAAAACCAACACCTAAGTCCAAAACTAAACAGGCATGGCATGCTGATTGCTAATGCATACAGTACTGTGAAAACTCCGACTTTGCACAACAATCGTTTTCAGCACGAAACCTTCCGCGTATATACTCACATTCAGATATACCTACTGAATGACGGCAGAGGAAGAGGCATACCTACAGTGTGGTGCCGGCGAGATCAGTGATCTCCACGGTAAGATAAATGGCGCCACACGCTGTGTTCATTTGCAGGCCGTCTAATCCGTCATGCTAAGCGGGCCATCACCGGCTAACTAGCCAGGTGTCATCCGCCGCTGCCGGGATGTCCGGCTGATGTATGGAGCGCGCCGAGCTGGCGGCGGCCTGCAGGCGCGCTGGCCGCCGCTAAGCCGTCCGCTAGTCAAACGGTATCCGGCCCGAATGTGGGGCTGTCAATCACACAGAGATCTGATGGGCAGCCGGCGCGGCGGCGCGCGGCGGGAGGCGGTGATGAAGGCAGCGGGATGATCAGATTGAATCGAGAAAAATGACGAGGCCGTTTGCTGCCGCCACCTTCAAGTCATATAAGAGACTGACGACTGAGTGCTGAAACAGCCCCTGCTACAAAATGGGTAGCAACTGGCAAGAGCGTTGAACTTGCCGGATACTAGGCAATGGAAAAAGAACCAGAAGGGTAAGCAAGTAAGAAAGCAACGTTGCGGTTAATGCACGACTGATCGTTCAAGTTTCCTCGCAGTGCCTAGCCAGTTTTCGCTTTTGGACTTGAACTAGCAGGCTCTAGCTGTCTCTCTCGGTGTCTTATCTCAGTTGGTGCCATTGGAACATTGGGCAGGCATTTCTGGCACTTGCTTATAATTTGTCGCAAAGTGCGATTACAGATTGAACCAGTGTAAGCTATAGCAGTTGTCGATAACCTAGGGCTGGCGAGTGGCCATGACACAAATGTTTACTTGTCAGAGAATCGTCCATCCTCACTAAGCGCTTCTGCGAGGTGAAATACGGACAACACTAGCACCACCTAGGAAAGCAGGAAGGACATATAGCGCCCCTAGCGGAGAGATACATTATAGGTTCCACCACCTGAAATCAGGTTGTTAAAAGAAACCCACGATAAACGACCGTAATAAAGGAAGAAGGCAAATCATGATGGATGCTATTAATTGACAGAATACAAATGCAACGAATGCAATCATGGCACACGCATCAAAATTCCGATAGCTCAAACCAAAGAAAGGATTAAGTTCAATACATTTTACATTTATTTATGGACAATGCAGAGCACACGTTCAATGCAAAACACTGAAAAATGGCCACTCCCTATCGCACGACACGCAGCGTTCAAGTTCATATGGTCAGCTCGGCAACCAGTTACACGCATTCACTGAGTTTCTAAGCGCTGGTCGGTCAAGTAGCACGGTCGTACACGCCATCTCGCGTAAAGACCAGCCTCAGACGAAGCCTACGCCTCCATCAGCGCAAAATTGCTCACAGTTCGCACAAACCAGGCGCCCGCGTCACTGTCATACGTATCATACTCAGTGTTCGCTGCCCACAGTTCGCCCAATAACCCACACCGCCCACTTCGCCCACAGTTCGCCCACCCGCGTCACAGTCCCCGACTTCATAGCTCGAAGTCGTCACGCAGCTCGTTGTACTCGAGCACGTGCTTCCTGATGGCTGACGCATCCACCCACGTGAGGAAGTCTTCCATGCTGCGTGTCACAAAGAAGGCCGGGTCCTTGACCACCTCGGGGCCGATGCGCACGTGGCCCTGCTCGACGAACTGGGTGGCCATTTTGACGGTGGGCGCCATCTTGAGACGCACCATGAGCACGGGCAGTCGTCGGCGGCAGAATGAAGAGGCTGTGATTTTGTCGACCAGCTCCAGGTTCCACTTGGTCGGGATCAGACCCATCTGGTAGGTCTTCTCGATCAGCTGAGCCGAGGCCTCCACGCGGAACTTGTCCTTCGGGTCGAGGTTCTTTATTTTGCGCGCAATCTCGCGGATCTGGCGGGCCAGTTTGTTGTACTTTGTGTAGTCGTCCCGCTTCTTGATCTGGAACTTGCGCAGGATTTTCGCCTCGTGAAGTGTGTTGTCTGCCTCCCAGGATATGAAGTCAACTTTCTTCAGCAGCCGCTGCTCATGATATTTGAGCTTACGAACCATGATGAAGAATGGTCCTCAGGTTTCTGTAAAATGAACAAAGCTGGTCGTCATTCATGATGATAAGCTGTGTCTAGGGGGGCTGCAACCACAAAGTCACATGGCTTAAGTGCAGCTTGAAACAGCAGATTAAAGTTAGTAGATGCAACCCACGGATGTATAAATAAGCACAGCACACAGCACAGGAACTGGCAAAGGTCTATCAGATAACACACAAAGTAATTATACAATACATGGCTTACATGCAGATTAGCATGCAGCAGGCCAGAGTGACTTCTTTTTGTGGCAGGTGGATCAAAATTTGAAACATAATAAATGGATGCTTTGTTGTAAGGTGGCACTTGATGAATAAAATAACAGGGAAACCCTCCATGTCCTGGTGCAACAGTGCCCAGCAATATGACATCCATGACAAACAACCAGTTGGTGGGGGAAACATTGCCATTTCAAAGCAGTGCCATTCATCAAAAATGATTTTTCCAATTTTAGAGTAAGTTTCCAGGTCTTGCTCCATCATGTAATTACGAATAGATGCAGGATTCTAGCCTGAGCGCTGTTCGGCGGCCGGCTAGCGCGCTAGCCCGCGCACACATACGTGCACGTTGCCCCGGCAACGGGCTATTGACCAATGAGAAGCGCGCTACGGGGGGCACAGGTATATGAAAAATCGCAGTGACGTTGCACTTTCCTCGCGTCTCATTGGTCAATAGCCCGTTGCCGGGGCAACCAGCACGTATGTGAGCGCCGGCAAGAGTACTAGCCGGCCGCCGATCAGGGCTCTGGTTTGCACTGGTTAACAAACCTATCCACCTGGCCAAAATTTGGTATGTGGACTCTGCTGCTATGCTTTGAAGTCTGACTAGGATTCATATGCAAAGGTACAGCCCCACAGTAAATCTGCAACCCCTGAGAAGCTGTGCATTTGCGCAGCAATAAAATCTTGACCATATAGCAATACTTCATACTTTTGCAGCCTAGACACTGGACAGCAACTCGATGGAGTGAGACATTCAAACAGTCACAAAAAATGATCCCTGCCCGGGGGGCAGCAACAGGAGTTTTGCCGGCAGAGGGCCATGCCTGAGTGAGGGGAATAGCATCATGAACTGCTTTCCAGTCTGGTTTTGAAGGCTCGAGAAGACTGATCAGATTACTAGGACCGAGGGACCTGTCCAATGAACAGTGTCCAGTGCCCATGCCATGCAACATGGCACATAGCTATGTTTTGGAAGCTTATTTGTTTGCTGAGGTGGCTGAAAAGAAACACAAGTTTTTAATGCAGGTGTTATGTGTCATGTCCATGTGGGATTCCTGATGATCATGACAGTGTGTCCTGGAATTGAACGTTGTGATACAACACTGCTGCGGTACAGCTTAAAATACAACACTTCACAATCTAGTGCTTCTTCAAAATCTCAGTTATTCCAGCATTGTAATTTGCAAAGGTGAAGCAGGTGCACCATACCCACTTAACAATCAACAGGTCATATTGATGTGCTAACCGCCGCCGCTTAGGTACTTCCGGTTTACTTCGAAGTTCGACGGACAGTCGACAGCAGACAGCCAACTACAAACTTTCAATGTTGCTCTTACCTCTGGTGCGTCAAAGATCACTTTCTCAGACAGCACTTGCAACAAATGACTCTTGCAAAAACTGTCCAAAGCAGGAATAACATACAATTTGCTCCCATTCACAAAACCTCACACATCACAAAGATTCACGATGCCTTACACTGGCCTTACCAGCCAAACTTGTGCAAAACTTGTTCGCAGACTACGGCAAGCGGAAAGAAAGCCAATCATTACTCAACTTCAGCATAAGCTCAGCTTGTTGCCTAGCAATTAGCCTATAAAAACAGCATACCATGCAAAGCAGCACTGGTGAACAGAATTGGAGATGCATGTCGATTGTAGCTTTTGCGCCATAACGCTTTCAGTATTCAGCTTCCAGATTGCTACCAAATGATAAGGGACTAAACGAGTAGTAAAGGAATCTTGGACTAAACATGGATTATCTACCTACCTACGGTATTACAATCCATGGACTAAAGATGGACTAAAGTAATTCTGCCATCATGCCCGAAATATAGTACTAGTATTTTATTTCATGTTTTCTGCTTCTTGATTTGAGAGATATGACGCAAGTGCGAGTGAAGCCGATCAATCCCATTATATCCGAAGCCTTTGGCAGAACTACGTCTTAAATGCTTCAGTTGCTAGTCAATAGTCTGTCTTCAAAGTTCGGGATTCGACGACCCGCCTTTATTGCACCGAAGAGATGATCAAAGCGTGCAGATTTCTTTGATGAATGATGGGACCAATAAGACACTCTGCAGCTTAGCTCCCAGTTTCAAGGCACTCAGTAGCTCCCAGTTCGCTGATCGCTAATTCTCATTTCACAAACATAACGCTCCCGCCACTAGACCACGTCCAACCGCGGCCAGCTACCACCACGTATCTAGCCAAAAAGCCGTGTACGTGAATATAAGTATTGTATTGATCCTAGAATCGCAATAATTGTACAAGGACTACAACGTATATACCAACAGCAAGCTGTAAGTGGATACAGGGTGATACAAACCGGCGTTACACGTGCCCCAGTGGTCCTCAACCCGGTCACAACACGTACCAAACACGGGCCGACGGGGGTGACACGGTCCGTGACCCGACCGACCGGCGGGTCACACACCAACCAGAGGCCGGACAGCGTCCACAACACGGGTTATACTCGAACCGACTCACCACGACACCTCTCCGGCGCGACCACCCAGCGCCGGGCACCGTCAGCCCGCGGACAGTGGCGCCTGCCACCGGACACAACGGCCGGGCACCCGCGCACGCATACAGACCACAACCGAGAATATACCATCACGAACGGCTACTATTTGGTCGGTCGTCATTTCAGAGGATAGCATTTGATCTCGACACACAGCGGCCGGCGGTCACCCCGTCCGAGCGGGCGACGGCTCAGCCACAAAAACATAGACGTGTATGTATAGTTATACGGGCATTAGGTATGAAAACTGCACACTATCACATAATATGGGGGCACGGGGCGAGTGGCGAACGGGCGTGGGGCCGATCAGAATCATAGGTAACACGCGGCGGCGGCGGTGCGCGGGCCAAAATACGACGAGAGACCGCTCGACGGGCGCGGCCGCGCCGCGGAGGTAGAGAATAGTGTGTCTTTCGCGCGCAGGAAAGAGCATTTGGCCTGACCGGGATTGGAGAGAGGGGAAAGAAAGAGCGAACAGCGGCCGGGAGAGGGTAGGCTGGCTGATTTGTACTAGGCCCGGTTCGCCAACTTCCAGAGACGGTCAGGGCAGCGCACACAATAAATAACTTCGGACACACTCGTACATAGCTCTCACTCGCACTCTCTGGGGAGCAGCAGTCGGCTGACGTATCCGTGCCGGACCACCGAGCTCCCACGGTAATCCACGCATAGCTGAGTATGGTAGCCAATTATAGACGCCATGCGTGTACGAAACAACAATCACCATATTCACGGTACAGCGTGTGTTCATATCACCTCACGGAGAAAACGTCATCCGTCAAACAGTGGTCTGCCAGGCGCCTCGACTCCTCAAACTACCCACCGTCCGGCGTCTGTCCGTCTGCTCGTCAGTCCGTCTTTCCGTCTGCCTGTCGGACTGAGCAGTGTCGGTCCACCTCTCAGTCTCTCCGTCCGTCAGCGGTCCGTCGTCTATGGCAGCGGGTAAGGCGCATCCGATGAATGAGATCTAGATACAATGAAGGCGGCGGAGGCGGGTGAGGGCGCCGTCACGCGCGCGGCGCGGCGCGGCACGGCCGCCGGACGGCGCGCGGTGGGCGCGCGCCCGCTGCAGCCACTACTGCAGCAGGCACGCGCACGCGCACACGTCCGGCGCCTGCCGTCAGTGGCTCTGGTAATGGCGCGTGCCGTCGCCCAGGTCCAGCTCGAGCTCGCGCTGCTGGCGCTGCTGGCGCAGGGAGCGCTGCCGCGGCAGGGTGCCCGTGGCCAGCGCCACGTCCGGCATCGTGGAGAGGCGGCTCTCGTCTGCGGCGCCGCGCAGGTTCAGCGCCTCCAGCTGCCGGGGGGGGGGGGATGAGGAGGTCAGACTGTTCTAGGAGAGTCATAGGTTCCACAACGCCTCCAGTTGCCGAGGGACGGGGAGACAGGCGATTATAGTGGAGGTCAGACGGTTACAGTGGAGGTCAAAAGGTCATCAGAAAGGTCTGACGGTCGCATAAGGAGTCAGCGACACACAGGGATATTTTAGGGTCACTGAGGACCATAAGCATTAGGCAGGTTATTGAGAAATTACACAAGGCGTGAGGCTGAGGATATTTCATATACCTATATTAATAGGAGGAATTTGCCATAATAAAACCAGTATAACGCCTTTTGGGGCGACTAACGGAGCGAGCGAGAGGGTGGGCCTTGCACGTGCGAAATTTCCAGGGGGTACCTCCAACTGACTTGTGCACGGCACCTTACTAACCGGTCTCTAGCGATGGGCCAAATTTGAGGACAATCGGCCCAGCCGTTCTCGAGATCTGGAAGCGGCACCCTGCACGTGCGCACGTGCAAAATGGGTCCCAACCGACTTGTGCACGGCACCCTACTAACTGGTCCCTAACCGTGTATCAAATTTGAGGGCTATCGGTCCAGCCGTTCTCGAGATCTGGAAACGACCCCTGCACGTGCGCACGTGCAGCAGCACCCCAACTCTGGTACATGGATATGCAGTGCCTAGTGGGTGCCTATACCTACATGCCAACTTTCAGCGCAATCGGCCAAGTAGTTACCGAGATATTGCAACAATTACAAAACTGACACGTCTTCGTTTTGCACATGGCACGTGCATAAGGGGTTACCCACATGCATCGGCAATAGTCCAATACTTCGTAGAAGGAATGAAGCTAACCTACAAAAATTACCGCGTGTAAATCGGTCAAGTGGTTGCTGAGATATAAGCCTCGCAAAAGCGTCCGCACGGCCGGCCGGCCGCTCATACTCAGAAATTTCCGTTAATCTAAGGAAAGACTCCGCTCGCTTCGCTCGCTCCGTAAAAAGCAATCGGGAAAACAAAAGGAACATTGAAAAAGCTGCAACGATGTCCGAAAGCCACTACAACTCCAGCAGCATAAAAGATAATTGCATTTAGACTGCTACAAGCTATCACATGAAACGATCACCCACCGAGCTTTATCAGACCAGCTGTTAGGCCCTCCCTTCCCCGGCTCGGCGTTCAACTCACATCCAGTGTGCGGAACTGTGCGGGCTCCGGCTCGGGGAAGGCGATGAGGCAGTGTCGCGGCAGGTCGTTGGTGGAGCGCCACCGGCTGGCGGCCTGCGTCACCGTCAACTGACCCTCGCTCCGGCGGCTGGCCGCCTGTCACAAACACACACATAGACACACGGTGAGGAGGTATTACAGAGGGGATACGGTAACAGGACGTGTCTGGGGCACAGTCGTATGCAGTTCAGAACGTTGGTTAGCTGCGGTATGGTGTGACTGTTGCGTTAGATATCATTCCTGATTGGATACCCTTAGTCATAAATAAACGATCACCATAAAAAGTCCACTTGGACATTGGTAGGATTCAAATTAAGAAAACATCGAATGAACGACAATAAAACAACAAACGTCATGACAAGCGTCAAGTGTCGTCACCTGAGTAACGAACCACATACAAAACGAAGTCAGTACTCAGCAAAATTGTTCCGCACAACCGTTACCCTTCCGCTCCCGTCCCGGGCACAAACATCCTCTCCCGGAACTGACGTCCTTTTCACTCTATATTTGCTTTTCTCCCTAGAAACCCCATCCACAGTCTACTGACCTGCAGAACCCGCACCATGCAGTCGGGCAGTCCGTACTCCCGGGCCATACATCCTCCCCATCTATACAGTGTGGCGTGTACTGACCTGCAGTACCCGCACCATGCAGTCGCGCAGTCCGTACTCCCGGACCATACACCCTCCCCATCTATACAGTGTGGCGTGTACTGACCTGCAGTACCCGCACCATGCAGTCGGGCAGTCCGTACTCCCGGACCACCTGCAGCCCGATCTGCCGTCGGACGCGGGCCGGTGTCAGCAGCAGACACGTGCTGGCCCGCTGGTACAGGCCCGACGACTGGAGCTCCCGCTGCCGCTGCAGCATTGCCGAGAGGATGTCGGCGCGCGGCGCCACTGAAAAACGAGAGCGGGAGGGGAGCAGACAGGTCAGAGCAGGCAGCAGACTAGAGGACTAGAGGCCACTAAAGCGTGTCCTCTAGTCAACAGCAGTCTGTGTACATAGCGCCCGCGTCCACCCACCAATAAATCACGCACGATGTTATATGTAGCAATGCATCCAACGACGCTCTAAGACGCCTGACAGCCGCCGAATGCAATACTGTGACAAGGCACATCCCTCTCAACACTCATCCGACCACCTCGAAGCTGACCAGGCTGGAACAGTCACCACCGCCCCGCCCAGCTCTGACACAGCCGGCACGTCCTCACTCACCCGGTACGTCCTCCTCCCCTCCCGAGGCGTCGCCGTCGGCGGCTGCCGCTGCCGCCGCCGCCGCCGCCGCCGCGCGCGCCTCGTCATCGACCATGTAGAGCGCGTCGGGGATGTTGGCCGCCACGCTGTGCTGGTAGTGGAACACGCCCGTGCCGTACTCGTTGCCCAGGTGGGACTCGAGCATCGCCTGGTGGCCGGAGGGCGGGTGGGGGTTATGGACGGATTGAGAGGCAAATGCGAAGAGAGATGTAGTTTGAGCACTAACCCTGTTAGTGGCAGGCTCCTGGCTACCCCATTAGTGGCAGGGGGCTGTTTACGTCCCTCCCCCTTCTTGACATCTCGAGATCTGACAGGCCTATTTTCAAAATTTAAACGGTATTCGATTCAACTTAAAATGATCTACATTTCTATGTAAAAAAATCCGAAAATGTATATGGGGGTGTATCTTTTCTGAACGATGGCATGGCAGATCGCTTTAAACGCACAAATAAATACGGCACGAGACGAGCGGTAGGATTGAACAGAGGGTCAAAACGTAAAATAAAGAGTACGTGGATAGTGATGGCCATCTAAAAATGGCCCTATTAACCCTAAAGGTATTGATGCCTCACGTAGGCTTTTCATCAAAGCGCTTTGAAGTTAAAGCTATCCGCCTTCATAAAACAGACTACAGTGTGTGTGTGTGGGTGGGTGGGTGGGGGGGGGGGGGGGGCTCAGCAAATCGCATATACTTTTTTGACTGCTTAACACGACCAAGTTTCTGGACCCATTTTGACGCAACTATTGTCGATCGATGCAGAATGAACCAGAAATTAGCAAGTATCATGACGGCTGTGACAGGGCCACGACAAAATCTCCCCAGGAACTCATCGGCAACAAATAAAGCACAAAAAATATTTAAAGTGAAAACATTTATTAGAGCATCAACCAACTACCAAAATCAACTAAATATAACAAGAACAGGTGAACTGGGTGCCTTCTTCCCATGCATTCATAAGCCGACATCATCAGATAAAGGAAAAATCACAGAAATTCCTCCCTCATCCAATAGAGAACTTTGCCCGAGTTGGTAGCATCTTTGTGGCTCCAGGGACTGTGGTGGTAGCCGGTGCTTCCTTCGTCATGCAGCAAAGAGCCCCAGCCGTTAGTTGTTCTATCAGTTGTAGTGAGCACTATCGCGCTATTTCCGGCATCAGCATCACGCATATTCAGCCAGGGCATGCGCTTCCTAATGCCGTCTCTCTTGTACACCCACTTGTCAAACTTCCTGACGCATATCACCTCCGTTTGGTCCGGGTGTTCTGCCATGAAGCTGTAGCGTCGCGGAGCGAACCAGACGCCGCCCCAGCGCTGGCGGCCCTTCTCCGCCTGCGTCTCGATCCGGTAGGCGAACCGGGTGCCGTTGCCCAGGTCTCGGATGGCGTCGGCGTGCCGCAGGATCGAGTAGTTGTCGTCCAGAGACGGCGAGCGCTCCCGCCGGCCGCGCACACTGAGCAGGTTCCAGCCGTCACGGGATTTGGCCGTCAGCAGCAGCGTCCAGCCGCCGCCGTCGTGACTGAAGTCGCACAGCACCGGCACCGGCATCCCGGTGAACCAGTAGACGCCGTCCTGAGGCGCGCCGCCCTGGTCCCGCAGCTGTAGACAGGAGCGGGCGCAGGCGAGCTTCTCCGGCCGCTGGTGGGGAGCCCGGTACGCTGGCAGGGGACTGGGGGACTGGTCACACTCCGGCGGTGACTCCGGCTCTGGCTCCGGCTCCGGCTCCGGCTGCTCCGTCGGCTCCGGGTCCGCCTCCTGGACTGTCTTCAGGTGGTGTTGCGTCTCCGACTTATCCTCGCACGCTCCTCCGACCAGCTCACTCCTGACCGGCTTCCAGGGCGCCTGACACTGACCGGCTGCAGCCCGCAGCTCCAGCAGATCCAGCCGATGTTGCAGCTGCTCCAGCTGGCTGCTGTCCGCTGCAGCTGCCCGCCGCTCCAGCACGCGCTGCACGGCGGCATCCAGCAGCTGCGACAACTGCTCAGAAGCCGATAGCTGCTCAGCCGCCGCCGGCTGCTCGGTCGAGGACAGCTGCTCGGTCGAGGACATCGTCTGCGGAGCGGGCGAGCTGTCCGATGCGGATGTCACTCCTGCGGCCATTACCAGTAGCCAGATGAGGCCGCCGGCCGTAGCGCGACTGGCCACTCCCATGGCGGTCACTGGATAGAGCTGCTGCGAGCGCAGATCTCTGACGGACGCACCGAGACGCAGACCCACCTGGGTCACAGACTGCTACCAGGGTCGCTGGAGCGCGACTAGGGAGTCCTGCAGTATCCACTCCTCAGCAGTGTGGGTCAGTCCTTCAACTCTGCTGCTGTCGGCACTGCCACTGCAGGGCTCACTGAAGGCCCTCTGCTTATTAAGGGTGGCTGCAGGCCCTGTTTATTATGGTTAGTTGTGGAGCGTGGGCTGTTTATGATGTCTTGGCTGTGGACAGAGTGATACCATGACGGAATGATGAAGTATGCACTGCAGTGTGCAGTGTAAGCAGGAATGCGACGCGTCTTGTCTTGCTGCTTTCGAATTATTTTTCTCAGGCACCCTTTGTCGAGACCTTCAGCAGTAATTTGCTTATAATGAAGGCGTTACGTCCTTTCTTGAGATGCTCATTTATAACATTATTTTTCGACCTCTCTTTATTTTTGGAACCGCCTTGTTTACGTCTTGTGAACATATGACACCTACAAAATATGTTAAAATTTATTGCTATTGCAATTGTTACTTTTACATACCAAGAGTCATGATACAAGAGGCAAACAATCGATGTGTGAAACTACTTCCCAATATTCAGCACCAGCCTATGCTTTTCGAAAATATATAACTTGCAAGTGATGACGATGACATGTTATAATGAATTTGATCGTTCCAAGGCACTCTAAATACTACCGAGCCGCTTGTCAAATGATATAAGGCGTATCTATTTGAACCCCCCCCCCCCCCCCTTTCGGATGTCTGGATCCGCCTATTATGTAGAGGACAAACGTATAAAAAGAACATGCACAATCACTGTGTATAATGCATATGTTTCCACACATGTTTCAGCCGCTGTTCGCAAACAGCATCAGCATCTTAGCTCCAGCTGCTTCAGAGAATATCCAGAAAAAAAAACTGTAGGGTGGATGAAAACACCCCTCATCCTCCTGCCACTATACCAGGGTAAATCATATGTAACAGGGTAAATCATTGTCTGATTGAATTGAGTTCATAGCATAATTTTATTATGCCTCGCGGCGCCTGTTACGGCTACTGACCTCATAAGTGCTGGTTTAGTGTGTGTTTGTGTGTGTGCAAGGGGGAGGGGGTATGTATCTTTTTGTCGCGTGACGATGCTGAATAAACAATAATAATAATTATTATTATTATATAGATGAGTATGGTTGTTACGAGCGAGCGAGCGCAGCGAGCGAAGCGAAGTCTTTTCAATATAACGGAAAAATCTCAGTATGAGCGGCCCGGCCCGGCCCGGCCCGGCCTGTAACGCTTTTGAGAGGCTTATATCTCAGCAACCGCTGGACCGAATGGCCTGCGGTCTTTTTTGCTGGGTAGCCCCATCCCTTCTACCCCGTAATTGACTACTTTTGATACATCTCAGTGACCGTCGTGGCACGTGCCACGTGAAAAGTCAAGGGTGTTCAAGCAGTTTTGCAAAAGTAATGATTTTGAGAGGCCCATATCTCAGCAGCGGCTTGAGCGATTGTCTTGCGGTCATTTTTATAGGGTAGCTGCATCCCTTCTACCAAAGGTCGGATACTCTTGATCTATGTGAGTGACCCCCACTGCACGTGCAAAATACAACAATAAGAGGTGCCAAATTTGTTCCCATTTCAGTAACTCGGTAATTACTGGGGCGATTTCGCTGAAACTTGGCATACAGGTAGGCACCCACCAGGCAATGCATTCCCATGTGTTGCGGTTAGGGTGCTACTGCACGTGCGCACGTGCAGGGGGCGTTTCCAGATCTCGAGAACGGCTGGGCCGATTGCGCTCAAATTTGGTACACGGTTGGGGACCGGTTAGTAGGGTGCCGTGCAAAAGCCATTTTGGACCCCGTTTGCACGTGCGCACGTGCAGAATGCCGCTTCCAGATCTCAGGCACGGCTGGGCCGATGGCGTTCAAATTTGGCACACCGCTAGCGACCGGTTAGAAGGGTACTTTGCACAAGCCCGTTGGAAGTACCCTCTCGCCCTTCTGCACGTGCAGGGCTCACTATCTCGCTCGCTCGTTCTTCGCCCAAAAGGCGTTTTACTGGTTTTATTAATGACCTGCACAATAAATGACACTAAGGACGACAAAAGCAAGCCAAATAACCAATGGCCCACCAAATTATAATATCCCAGTAAAAAGTATCAAGTGGCTTTGGAAAGACAATGCCGCTCTTATCGGTCCAGTCGGGTCAGCGACTCGAATCAATTCACTGCGTTGTCACGACACCTGACACATCCATCCCGTGCTCGCGCGAATAAATTCCAACAGCATATTCCACTCACCGCTCTGACTTTGACCTCCTCCACGTAGGGTAGGAAATAGCGCGGCCGCACGTACTCCCCTCGTTTCCGCTTCCCTCGGAACCACGAGCGCGCCCTGGAACGGAGGTACAGACAGACACGGTCAGCGGCCGGCTTCCCGGTATAAAGATCACGATCTTCCACAGCCGAGCTGAGAGAACAGTGGGTTCTGCATGCTTTGTTTGACTTTAGCCACCTCTTAAGTTGTGGGGAAATGACCATTATAATGCGGACGTCTTCACACACGCCGGTAGCTCGATGGATGAAGGGCGGATAAGAGCGAGCAACAACGATGAAGAATGCCAAAACGCTGACAGCATGAATAGGTAACTGTTAGCAAATGTGAGTTCCTATAGCCACCCAAACATGAACATGAAACTAAAAAAAAAAAAAAACGAGACCGCTGAAGTTCCATACGTTCTTCGACTTTGGGCTCAAGAGTTAGTTCAAGAGTTATTAACAGTCCAACAACCAACCATGGACCACGCATACACTGTACTGCAGTCGAGGCCTGTGACCCACCAAATCCAAAATGTTTGAAGAGCGATAATGCAGGGACCGCAGCTACCAGAACATGCACATTTTCGTCACTGGAGCAAGATTGTCGTAGCTCGACGGTACAAGTGCCACACCAAGGGTGAGAAGCATGCACACTATTAGCAGCGCGCAAGTACGTCTTTGCGAGCACAACACCCTGCATCCACACTTCACTCTGCCAGCTTCGAACAGCTTCTGTCCTATACATACCCTTGACTCAAAACACTCAAAGGCCGTGCTAATTGAAACCAGTATTCTGTTTCTAAAGTTAGAATAAAACGTCTCAGTCGACCACGGACCGAATGTCAAACTTTGTTCAAAAGCCTAAATACAAAGTCACTGGTGTTTTATACACGAGAGCAATCGGGAGCAGCCGTAACCAATCACCCGGGGTTCCCACCTGCGACCAAAGCAGCTACCAGCCGATGGTCTAAGCCGGCACAATACCTCAATCACTATCCAGCCTTACCACAGCCCTACCTCCCCTCTTCACTCACTCACTCACTCACTCACTCACTCACTCACTCACTCACTCACTCACTTACTCACTCACTCACTCACTCACTCACTCACTCACTCACTCACTCACTCACTCACTCACTCACTCACTCCCTCCCTCCCTCCCTCCTACCTGCTGCTGGTATCCTCTCCGATCATATGTGACGGTGGTATGCTGATGAGGCCGCGCCGGATCGCCGTGGTCACCGTCTCGTGGTCCACGGGCAGCAGGTGCTCGGGTCGCAGGTGGGCCAGCAGGGGCGCCATCACCTCGCGCAGCTCGGCGTCGTTCAGCTCGCGACGCTTCACGCCCTTCTTGGTCACCGAGTGGGCCGTGTGAGACAGCAGGTTCGGCTCTGAGAGGAGAGTGAGTGAGGGGTTAGACGCGGGGTGGGAGTGATGGCGCTGCTGCCGATGAGAGATGAAGTCTGATCTGCACGAGACTCTGGAGGCTGCTGTTAAAGAAGTTCACAGCGCGGACCGGTGGATGTGTCTGGAATCGTCTATGCACGTGTTACAGTAAACTCAATAAGGTTGTTTAACGATAACTGCTGTTAACGATAACTAACACGTTATGGAATCCAATAACATATCATCAATGGAAAAGGACGTAAGGAGGTACAGCGTCCAAACGATGCAGAACAAAAAGAGCACCCCTGACATGCATTTTCTTCACCAAAACAACTCACCAATGAGACACACCAACACACCAGCCAGCCACCATCCCTTCATGTCCTAACCTTTCTCGGAATCAACACCAACGTTTCACAAACCAAAACTTCAAGTTGACACCCTAAATGATAAACAGCCACTAACGAATCTCCAAACACCCCTCCACTCTTTCCGCTTCCTCCCATAGGCGCCCACCGGACATACCTCGCTCCTCCATACGTTTGACCAGCTGGTGTTCGCTCCAGCGTATGATGCCCTGCAGGATCTCCAGTTCGCTGGCCTGCACAAAGTCTGAACTGACGGCCGCTGTGAGCTGCGGCAGCGTCAGCTCCGTCAGAGACGGCGTGCAGATGACGGCGCTGAACTCCTCGCTGAGAAACTGCAGCGCCTGTGAACGCACAGAGGGAAGGGATGGGTTACACGGGGTGTTAATTTGAGACAGTCAGTCAGTGTTATACATACTGAGGAACTGCAGTGTCTGTGGAAACATAGATGGGCGAGTGGGTTAGACGGGGTGGGAATTTCAGCCAGTCAGTCAGTATTTCAGTGATCTCGAAGGTACCAGATGCCTGCAAAATATTAGCTGATGAGGCAGGATAGGTACTAAGTTAAACATGAAACTCGAAGCATTCAGTGGGTATTTGTAAGACGTTTTGTGACAGGATCATAAGCGAATATGATGCAGACAATCATGCAGTGCGAAAAGACAACGCAAGTTTCATCCATGATTCCCAAAGATACAGAACGACTAAATACAAATTGCAAAGATATTTTGTGTTGAGCGTGTTAGCCGCAAGTCCGTTTGTAATACCTAACTACTCTTTATGTGCTTATGTGTCTGGTTAGCCACGTTCTTAGCCATCACTCCCACCATCTTCCCTGCCATCACACACGGACCCACCCCCGCATAACGTCCCAGTCCCCTCCCCACCGCACCAAACGCTCTCCCACGTCCCACACCGCACCCAGTTGGCAGTCCCACCCCTCCCACTCCTGGCATGCCTCACTCACCTGTCTGTGGACCCACTGCGACCCGTGCGGCTCGGCTGACCAGCGCAGGATACGCGGCAGGCTCTCCACGCACAGCGCCTCCAGGATCAGATCCTCGCTGGCCTGGGTCAGCACGTCCAGCTCCACGAACCGGCCGATCTGATACAGCTCGATGGCTTCGTCCACCAGACTGATGGGGCGGCACACGCTGGGCTCGGTGCTGCTGTGTAGGATCAGGCTCAGATCCACTGTGTCCATGTACATGATCCGCAGAAGCACGTAGGCGTACCGGCGGGGCAGCACCGACTCATCGAGCTCAATACGGATCGGCGCCTTGCCTCGCGCTCGCTCTCCTCCCGCCTCGGTGAGTTTCATGCGTCGGTCGATGAACGCTTTGAAGAACGGACTGCGCGCGCTTAGCACGGCTTTGTGGCAGGGCAGCTCGAAGCTGTGCGGGTGCGCGTCGCCGCCGGAGCCGGCCGGTCGGAACACGAGCAGGGCGTCGGCCAGGTCGGCCGTCTCCAGCAGGTACTTCATGTCGCGCTCGAGCGGCGCCGGGGCTCCGAACTCGGCCTCCAGCTGGACGAGGATGTCGAGCTGTCGGCGGCGGCCGGCGCCGGCCGTCAGCAGGCCCGAGCAGTTGAGCTCGCCGCAGTAGAGGTACTGCAGCAGGGCGTTCAGCAGCTCCGGATCGACCCCGGCCGTGCGGATCCGGACTGGCACCGGCGCGCCCGGCCGCGGCTGGTCCTTCAGCAGCTTACGGAAGTAGGGGCAGCGCGCTGAGAGGATGGACCTGGGGACGGACAGGGTGAACTCAATGTTCAGCGACACTCGGCGAACTCAGCAACACTCGGGCCGGTCAAGTCAGCAGCATTCAACGACCTCTGTCCACCCAGAAAATCAACTAAAACTCAGACCAGTGATCAGTCAACTCAGCACAAGGGCTGATAGCTGTGCTTGCAGCCATCAGCAAATTTGACTACAGATAATTTCAAAGTCAAAACAAAACGTCACTTCACGGTCCTCCCCTCCCCGTTACACTCTTCCCGTCACCACTACCCATCAACCCTGTCACCTAACCTATACACCGCAGGTGCACACTGCCACTGTTTCCACTCTCCTCACCTGTGCACTGAGAACACGCAGCCCTGGTACACCAGGTCCACATCGGCGCAGTATCGGCTCTGGTAGAGCTCGCACAGATCCTGCTGACACGAGGAGGCCAGCGGGCGCGCGGCCGCCGCGGCCGCCGTCAGCTCCTTCATCAGACCGAGCGCTCGGTATTCCTCGTTCAGAGCGCGCACATCCCGCGCCGGCCAGTCGCAGATGTACTCACGAATCACCTGGGAGGAGCGTGCATCAAGGGCTAAATGTAAGTCATGGAGGGCAGGCACATCACGTCCCGCGCCGGCCAGTCGCAGTTGTGCTCACGGATCACCTAAGTGGAGAGCACACACATGCGCAGGGTTACCAGGAGTAGAGAATGGGCCAAGGGACCAATGAAAAACAGCTATGCCGAAAGGCGAGCTTTGGGATACAAAACAAATGCAAGTGAAGCTATGATCGACAGGGCCCCTGTGTCAGAAAAGTAAAGGGTAAAGATGATACTGGCTAGACTCTGCGGAATGCATAATAAGGACACCTGATGAACAAACATAAAGTCATTAAGGTGGGATATGCCCGACATTTTCAGCACACAAAAATCCCATAAACCTTCGCTTCCTCTAGAAAACCCTATGGCTGCCACATCTACCCATCTGGAAAACCCGTCTTATTCCCGTTCCCGATCAACCCCATGCAAATCAAGTCACCGATTTGACTTGCAGAGCCGCCGACCGGTCACCAAACGGAGGGCCCGGTCCCGTATTGTGGGCGCGCGTGACACCGGGTCGTGTTACACGTCAGGCGGTGTCCCATTGCTGGCCACCCACCGACTGGACGAGACTGGTCGAACAGGGGACGAGGCGGTCGCCGCTGACGGTGCGGTGAACTTGGGTGTGCGAGGGTGAAAAGGGGTGGAGATAGAGGAGTATTGTGAGATTCAGAGATTCAGCGAAGGAGGAAAAGAGAGTATTGCGGGGAGTACTTGACCTACATGAGTAGATGAAGTGCAACCCCGGGGAATCCACTGTTCAACATACGGAAGTAGTGCAACTGGTGGGTGCCAAAAGGTGTATAACGATGGGGTTTACTCAGTCAGTGGGTGTAGACGGACGGATGCGACTGTCAGAACACACCGAGCCAGCGAGTCCATTCCCACCTTGGCATGGTCCTGCGTTTTGTGGTGCCTCCGCCGCCGGCCGAGGCGCCGCCTCAGCGTGGCAAACCCACCAATCTTCTTCTTGTCTCGACTGAAACAGAGGTCAACAATCGTCAGCGTCCGTAGTTATGCAACATTGGTAACCGCTCGGTCAGACGGGGCGGGGTCAGCGGTGCTTCTCGGGTCTATTTTAAGAACGATCGGCGTCGTAGAGTGCGGATTATAAACGAGTGTTTAACAGCATAACAAACCACTCCACGGAACGACTAGACGACCCGAGAGGTTACATTTCATCGCTCAGCGAAAACCACCCCTTCGTCCGACCGCACCGGTTTGGATGCGATCCAACCTGTCAGTCTCTAGCCTCGAGTCCGACTCTGAGTACGCGGTACGCGTCTGGCCGGCCGCACGGGGCGGAGAGAACAGTGCCAGCCTCGGAACAGCGCCGGTGCCAGACACGGTCGAGCTGGCGTGCCGACCGAACCGCCATCCAACCATCTCGCCATTCGCCAAACGGTCCATCTGACCTCGACACAAACACAACACGGAGCGGGCATTATACCGCGTTCCGCCTGACCTACACAAATAGAACATGGACCGGGCATTCTACCGCGACCAGCCTGCCCCCCCCCCCCACACACACACACTAACACATAACACCGGACAGCAAATTCTATTTCAGCGTGGATATCGAACACAGGTCAATTTCGCCTCGTGCGACGGCCACCGTGGCCGACAGAGCCACTCAAAGGACGGGGAAGTTCTAGGATGTAGCGCCAAGGCATCGTCTGTGGTCCTTTTCTCCACATGCGATGTACATTTTTCACTTGACAGATGCCTCGACAGTATAAGTGACAAAAAAAAAATCAGGAGGCACTTTGTGTGGCAGGTGACAATCCGATTGTGGTTTTATGTTGTCCAGTAATTCAGCTAACTTTAAGCACAGCTTAGCTACCTTTTACGAAAAGTTCCTAGCTTAGCTTAGACGTTATCCATACTAAGCGTTGAACCAATCTCTGAACTACTTCCTCTACTTCTCTCTACTAACACTATCACTTCAAATTTCACGCCTGACTTACAATTTTACCGAGTCTGCAAACCAGACTTATCACATAAGTCCGACAACTTGAAAAATACTTGCCCTATCATATCAGTGCACATGATAGAGATAGCGCAATCTGGGCGAGTGCGGCTACTGCGGTGAACTCTGCCTCTCTCTCTCTGCCACGTTACCCTCGCGTCCCATTCCATCTCTATTCCCTCCCGTCTGCCCCGTTACGAACCTGTGCCGTTTCTGGTAGGCGGGCGTCAGGACGCTGCCACTGGCGCTCGCCTTGACGTGGTACTGGGGCGCGTACGGCCCCGAGGCTGCAGCTGCTGCGGCGGAGAGCTGCCCGTGCTGCAGGTGCAGACCCGAGGGCACCGAGCTGGGCGCCTGACCCATGGCGGTCGGCCGGTCACAGCGCGCTCAGATCGGCAGCATCGCCGCGACGCTGCGAACGGAGGGAGAGGGGAGGGTCACGGTCAGATGGGGACGTATAGCCATAACGCTGAATAATAGGCGATAATTATGTTATAGCCACGGTCAGATAGGGATGAAGCTATCATAGCGCTACAGAATAGGCGAAGGTTATGTTATATCACGGTCAGATAGGGATGAAGCTATCATAGCGCTATCATCACGGTCAGATAGGGACGCATCATAGCACTGACGATGGGTGAGGGCTAGATTACGGTCGCTTGGTGAGTATCGCAGGGATAGAGGCAGACAAGGACAGGGCCATGGAGTGAGTCACTGACAAAATACATGAATCTAATCAAGACAGAAGAGGTGCCACGTCACACAGCTCATAGCAGCTCTCCAAACCCCGTACTACATCACTTGAGATGCTGGTCCCGATTCACGAATAAATAAAGCACAATGCCAAAATCAGCAGAACGTCGGACTGACACGAAGGCGAGCAATTCTCTCAGCGCCACATCCAGCAGACTGTGTCGGGCCGGCCATCAGACCAGAACCGGCACAGAGTCAGTGTCGCCAGACGCCAGCCGCGCCGGTACGGTACCACCAGATCAGCGTGATAATCCCCGGCGCCGCCACACATAAAACAGCCGGACCACATAACCCGCAGTGCCGACCTCGCAAACTCGCAGCCAGAGCAGAGCGGCGGGGTTGCACCGCCAAATTTACAAACTTACAGCAGCTTGTAACGCAATAAAGCTGCAGAGCGGCCCAGTATTGGCAAATGTTACACATAAGAACTATGTGACGTAGAATTGTTCACATGTGTGATGCATTTCACTGTACCTACTTACAGTTGAGTAACTGTGTTATTCCGTGTGAAATAAAAACTAAATCAGACAAATATACATCCCACTTGCAAGCATACCACAGTTTTACAATGACCTGTTGTGCGGTACTGGAAAGCTTTGTTCATTGCGAAAACTTCCGCCTGAGCGCACCGATGCGTAAAACGAGTCTTCAAAGTGTTACATACGCGGACGGACAGGCACGTAGCCGCACACTAAGTACATGCCAGAATGGATGAGCGGAACTACGTCGTTGGAGGGTCGAAAAACAGTACGCGTTACCATTAATACAAAACGAGCCCATTCGTTGCATTAAGCAAACACCGTGTGTCCGGCAAACGTGGGTGGCCAAGTCAAAACCTCTCCGAGACCACGTCTTAAATCAAGCACGCCTATCTTCTCGAGTGCGTTGTCCAATCTGCCTGCCACGCGCGCCATACATCAGCCCAACACATCCAAGGCGAGTCATCTGTCAACGATCTAAAACTAGCCCGGCGTCCAAACGGTCGACACGCACGCATCCAGCCCCGTGTCAAAACAGTCGCGGTCACAGCGACCGGCCGCTGGTCCCGCTAACTCTACTGTCACAGCCGTACCCAGAATCCCCTGGGAACAAAGCGGCCTCACACCAACCATGTTAACCGTATGTGCGCCACAAATGGTCATCTACCTATGGGAACTTGGCTCCCAGACGTGCGAGCAGACCAGACCTCTAAGAGGGCCAGTGTTCACAGTCACGGGCGCCCTGCCAGACAACAGTTTCACTGGGGGCCCGGCGCTAATCGTCGTCCGTTATTTACGCGTCACGACACGGGCCAAAATCGATGACCGTCGCTCGTGGGCGGATGGTCATTTAGCGCCGGCCGACGGACGGCGGCCGCCAGGGTCACGAGTCCGACACCCCGTCCGGCGACTCGGTCACACAGCTACGGGCAGGGGGGAGTCCCCACCGGAGGTTCTACCGGATATATCACGCAGTAGGCGGGTGGTAGGACGACAGCCGGGCTAATAGGAGAAACGCTAAGGACTACCAGTCGGTCTCTATAGAGCACAACTGAATGGAACACACAACTCAGCATTCTTAGAAAAAATCTGGAGGTGAAGTCTCAAACGACAGATGACTGCCTCGTTCCCCCGTTGTCTGCGTGGGCGGGGGCGCGTGGGTGGGGAGGAGTGGGGCGGGCCGCTGGGGGAGCGGGGTGGGTGTTGGCACCCTCCGCGGTCATCAGCTCAGTCACCGTCGATAGCGGCGACCCCGGCGTCTCGGCACCCTCCCTCTCCCCACCGACGACCGGACGGATAATACCGGCACGGCGGAGGGGGAGGAACGCTACGGTCAGAAGGGTCAGCCAGGGTCACTGCCGAGTAACAATCGTGACCTCAGTCACTGCGGAGTAACGTCTAGGCCCGGAAAAAAACACGGTAAGGAATAACGCCACAGTCCAAGAAGGGCCACGGTTACAGTGGAGTAACAATACTGACCTCGGTCACAATGCGGGGTAACACCAGGGTTTGCAGAACAGCACGGTCCGAGTTACACCGCGGCTCGGAGTAACATTACGGTCACATCGTGGAGTAACACCTCAGTCACGGGTAACACCACGACCGGAGTAGGGTCACGGCCACACTGCCCACGGCGGCGTCGCCACAACTCCGCTACCCCCGGCTGGTCGGACCACCGCGCCGCGCGCTGCACCGGGAGTATCTCCGGGAGCCGAGGTATTCACGCTGTGACACTGACGGCACTTCTATGGACTTATGATGACAGCTGAGCACCCCACGGCAGCTTCATCGAAAGTCCGACATTCTTTTACGATCGCGCGTTACATAAACGTCAAACTATCGCGACAAAACATGATGAAGTGAAAGTATCGCGCAATAACACGCGTCCTGGAGATACCTGGCCAATATCGACCATCAGTTGGAGAGTCAGCGGACCGGCCGAGCCTCTCCCAGATTAACATCACAGGTACCAGACGATCGCTAAATGTCGCGCACCGCCATCCAAAACTCACCACTTATCACTCACCACCCATCACATATCTCATCCCCAACCCAGCATCGCACACATACACTCAGGGACATTAATCACAGGTGCCCTTCACGCCGTCACACACTCGAACACACCTGACACAGTCGTCAGCACACACCCAGCTGTCAAAACAGGCACCACCTCCGCCGGGCAGCGGTCGCTAAGTGAAGCCACAACGCGACTTCTGCGGGCACCACTGAGGAGCCCACCGGACCCGCCGCAGCTCTATCGGCACAAATCCCCCAGAATGGGAGCACTCGGGGGTGTGCCGCGCTATCGGGGGGGGGGGGGGGGACGACACAGATACATATCTGTCCCACCGGCGGCCGCGCGGTGCATCGCGCGTGTGGCTACCGGTTCTGTAAGGTGCGGGCATGCATTAGCATATATGTAGCGATTAGGGAAAAAGAGACAATGCTGCCTTATGATCTGCAGCAGGATTACAGTTTTTCCTCTAACCTCAGCAGGGTCCCCACTTGCGATATGTGGTCAATAGGTACCTAGCAATGATCGAATATCGTCGGTCGTTCAAGGAAGAGCTTAACTATCGAAATTAGAGGGATGCAGTCGGCAGAAAGCAGTTTTTAATTCAAAACAAAGTGAAATAGAGATAAACAGATATACCTATTAAACAAAGAAGCACATAAGAGCTGAGAGCACAAGAGTATTCTCCACAGCATAGTGACTGATCCAGGGCTGCAGAATCGTTAACAAACCACAAGAGGTGATCTAATTGTTTGTTTGTTTATTGGGGCTTAAGGGCGTGCAGCACCTGGAATGATTTAACCATACTAAAATAGACAGCTGTTTTTAGAAATCCCTCACTATAAGCTGAAATTTAATAGCAAACAAGAAATATAATTTTGTAAGCACTGAATTGAGAGTGGCACATAACTACAAGATATGTAGGTTGACAGCTAACATTGGTATTCTTGAATCCCCTCCCAGGTATGCACTGTGCAATATCAGTAGGCATATATTCAAGCTATCAGAAAATCAAAACAGGTCAGTTACACAGCTCCTACAGCTAATAAAGGGCTGTTGGTAATTTTCACTGTGTATCTGATGGAGCGCCTAATCATAATGGTGCCTACATACTTTCTGAAATTGCTACAGAGCTCTGGCTAAATTACAGTGGACCATGCCCATCAAAAACTTTGGTAAATCACAAGATATAAGTGAGTAGTTTCAACAAGTAAAATAACTACTGAGGCTGATATGCTGAGATGTCTATTTACATCTATGGTTAAATTTGGTGCACTGTTAGGTAAAAAATTCTAAAATTATTGATGGTGAAAGAAAGCGCGGTTTTAAGGCTCATGATTATTACGAGCGAGCGAGCGCAGCGAGCGAGCGAGTTCATACTGAATTAAAGGGACAGTATCACCATTTTGATGAAATTTGACATTGCATAGGCCCCACCTTTCTGGTCCGGGAACTGAAGACCGATCCTCGAAGCTCCACACCGTTATCCTGCTATCGCCGCTCAAAGTACGAAAGGTGTACTACACTTTGAATCGTGCTTCACTATCTTCACTGTTTAAATGTTTGCGCCGTTTTGAATTGACCGCCAGTAATAAAACTTTTACCCTGGTCATTTCATCAAATTTTATAAAGCCAAAACGTTTTTCGCACTTATTCATCACCGTTAAATTCATTAAATAGTCGTAGGCAATTTCCGCTGTTTCCTTCGGATTCTAGCGGCTCAACAAAGGAATTCCTCCAGCTTGAATCACAATCTCCCTCCAATGTATGACGTATATGTATGACGTCATCTGATCAGTCTCGATCTCAACGACAACTCAATCAGAAGAGTGGCCGCGTAAGCGTAGCGTCAATAACACTATGCAACAAAAAATGAAACATTTTCTGTTCCTGGAAAGCGACCGAATTTTTCTTATTCATTGGGTCCTATTATAACCGAAATGGGCATTAGTTTTGATCTGAAAATGCTTTTCCGGTTTTCAGAGACGATTTTCGATTTTTGGCCCCGAAATTCGGTTTTTGGCCCACCGTGTCCGATGTAATTGAGTAATCGACTCGCGGTAACTTTCATCGCCTTTCCTATGCCACAAGCTTTCGAATGATATCTGGTTTTGCATATTTGCGTGCAAAAATAACGTCATAAATCTATGTTAAAGTAAGAAAATGTTGAAATTTTGTAAAAATTTGACATTTTTTTCGATTTCATTTCAAAATAGAGGAAAAACTAAAGGCCCCATCCAAATTCTGAGCCCAGTTCCTTGAAGAGCATTCAATTTCCGTTCGGAAGGTACCTTTTTAGTGCATTTTATCGGATTCCTGTGGCGTCCAGATTAAGTTAACCTAAACACATATCCTAAGTCATATCACATAGCATTAACCTGATAACGTATGTTAACGCCATAGGATCAACGAGGGGTCAACTGAGGTCATTTTGTTGACCCCTTGTGACCTCGGGTCACACGCAGGAACTTACTTTTGAGCAGTCCTGTCGCTCAGAATCTTGATCTGTTGGGGGCCCGTTTTTCAAGTGACTCAATCTGGACGCCACAGTAAACCGATAAAATGCACTAAAATAGTACCTTCCGAACGGAAATTGAATGCTCTTCAAGGAACTGGGCTCAGAATTTGGATAGGGCCTTTAGTTTTTTCTCTATTTTGAAATGAAATCGAAAAAAATGTCAAATTTTTACAAAATTTCAATATTTTCTTACTTTAACATAGATTTATGACGTTATTTTTACACGCAAATATGCAAAACCGGATATCATTCGAAAGCTTGTGGCATAGGAAGGGCGATGAAAGTTACCGCGAGTCGATTACTCAATTACACCGGACACAGTGGGCCAAAAACCGAATTTCGGGGCAAAAAATCGAAAATCGTCTCTGAAAACCGGAAAAGCATTTTCAGATCAAAACAAATGCCCATTTCGGTTATAATGGGACCCAATGAGTCCAAAAAAATCGGTCGTTACTCAGGAACAAAATGACTGTTGCATAGTGTAATGTATTATCTGCGCCAGTTCTGTAGTAATTTCGCAGGCTTCCAAAGTGGCGGCCATGCTTGTAGTGGTGGTTCGCTCATGAAAATGACTCGCTCATGAAAAAATATTTTTCACCGAGTTCGGTCCTCAAACTATGTTTTTCTGATTCAGAAAAATAAGAAATGCTAGAAAAAAACAGCTCCATACATTGATTTTTTTTTCGATGATACTGTCCCTTTAACCCTATTAGTAGCAGGGGGGGTTGTTTTTATCCACCCCTCAGGTTTTTCGGGAATATCTCCGAAACCGCTGAAGCTACGATGCTGAAATTTTCTGACTTTTCCTAAAACTAAATTGGGCACATTTCCTGAAAATTTCAAGTTCATAACTTTACCAGGGGCGGCTCCAGAGCACTGGGAATTGGGGGGTCCTATTCGTGAAGCGAGTCATTTGGGCGAAGATCACGATGCTGCACCAGTTTTACGAACAGTGAATGAAAGGTATCATGTGATAACATATACAGTTATTGTGCATCCTCTTTTGACACGTTTTTGCTATAATAGGCGGATCCAGGCGTCCAAAAAGGGGGGTTATGTTTTACCTCCCAACATAGGTGCCCTGACACCGCCTATGCATGACCAATACAATTGTAGTCGTTCTCTCATAAGAAAATTGTAACATAACAAGACCGTTACCGCCCTTTTTAGAAACAGTACCAACAAAAACCTTATTTACTATACTTTTTGTGTACCCCCAATCTCAATGATCTGTATCCGCCTATGATTTTTGAAAATGCATATTTTTAGGATCCATGTGAATTCCTGGTTCATTCTCTATCGATCGGCAAAAGTTGCGTTAAGATTGGTTCAGAAACCTGGCCGTGATAAACAGTCTAAAATGTATCTGCAATTTGCCCGTTTTTACCCCCCTCTACCCCCCTATTGACATTTTTTAATTTTTATTTTTTAGAAATGTAGATCACGTTGAGCGAAATCGAATGCCGTTTGAATTTTGAAAATCGGCCCGTTAGATCTCGAGATATCAAGGGGGGGTCGTAAACAGCCCCCCCTGCCACTAATAGGGGTAGCCAGGAGCCTGCCACTAATAGGGTTAAGGGAAAATCCTGAGTATGAGCGGCCGGCCGGTCGGCCGCTCATAGGTCTGGCGATTCAAAATAGGGCCAAGAAAATGAGACAACTGTTTCGTGCATAGCACATCGTCAGGTCTGACGATGTGCTATGCACGAAACAGTTGTCTCATTTTCTTGGCCCTATTTTGAATACAATTATTAGCATGAGGCTTAAGGTTTTCATTGCATTTATATATAATTATTGATGGTGAGTAATAGGATCTCCCGAGCACCACTGCTTAAGTCTACATTAGTCAATGTGGCTTAACATCTCTGCTGGAAACCATGCAGGATGTCTGTGCAATGTGCATAAGCTAGAGTAAGAGTCAGACTGCAAGCAATGGTGGTAGTAGAGTCAACAAACTGCACCAGCATTTAGGGAAAATATGTAGGCCAGCACTAGACAGGCTGAAAATCAGCACCAGCCAGAACAAACATCCACACTTCTATAAACCTATAATGATAAAGTTGTGAATGTGCCACCTACCTACTACCTGTTCCAATCTGAGGCAGTCTCCAAAACAATGAAATAGGTAAGAATGCCTTATCTAAGACAGTGCCTTGTCAGGACTAAAGTCCCACACTCAAAGTCCAAAGGCTCCTCAAAATTAAGATAAAATGAATCAGTTGTAATCATTGACATCCATGGTTGCATCCACACCTCTACACAAAACCACACTGCAGAAAATCTGAACTCCTTAGCTCTGTTCGCACCCCATTTATTTATCAGCAGGCTGCGACCATGCTGCTACTTCTTGACTCCTCATTGGTCGAATTCAAGTGGTCTATTCGCTAGACCAATGAGAGGCCAAGCCGCGCCAGCAATAACTTCCTTATATGGGGAAAACCGACAGCACGCTGATATAAAAACAGCGAGCGAACAGGGCCCTTGATCAAACATCAGCCTGTTAGATAAAATCTTGTTGATGTTGTTGCACTTTGCTATTTAAAATGAGGGTAGGTTAGGCACTAAATAACTTGAGGTTACTATGCAGTAGATTACAATAATACGATGCATCAATTAGTTATTCTTTAAAAAAAGATAGAAACAAAACAATACTGCTTTGCTGTCCTCATTCAAGGCACAACCATACTGCCAATGGGTGCTGAGTCATGTCCTGCGTCATGTGCTACATTGACATCCTTGCTTCCTACTAAGGTCTGCAGTCTTTCTGATATGCCTTTCACGTGGAGCCCATGTCCCACAAGCAGAGTGAAAGTGGCCTCTAATACAGATATCCAACTAAGCCAATAATATTAAAATTTGGGTTTGTAAGTACCTACCTAACCATTTTTGATGTGTGTTGGTATTTCAGATGAATAACCATTTATCATGTAGTGGTGATTAACTGGACAATTTTAATAGGTACAGAAGGCCGTGGCCGCGGCAGTTTGATGCACAGCGAACCGTGGCACAGACGGACTGATGGTTTTCGTTCAATAACTAAGTAAAATGCGTTCAAGTGTGGTTAATAGCAAGGTGCCACTGAAAAGAAAGATAATGATACCCAAAAAGCGACATAATAACCACTTACAATAAGAAATATAGGATGGTTAACTTTAATCCACGCCACTTTTGCCTCCTGCAGCTACTATTTTCTTCTTGCGCAAAACTGAAAGATTTTGCGCGAGCCCACATTACGTGTGTGTGGCAACATACGCCGAAGGGCAAAGCTTGGCACCCAAGGGTGCCCAACTGCGAATGCATGGTGCAAAATTTTACAATAGGATCAATGCGCTGCCCAACATGGCCCAGTTCTTAAATGCAACATAAATGATTCAACACAAAACGGCTGGTGATGCAACTTAATCTGTGAAGCTACAGCCATTTGAACTTGAACTGAGAAAATAACACATTTCAACAATCAACCCCTTCACTAAATTAATTGAAAATTCTTACATCTTAGTTTATCATTTCTATTTCTTATTCTTCATAAAAACGGCAGCAATCATTTTCGAACATTCCCATGGAAATCAACAAAATCAAAGTGAAATGCAGAGTGAGAGAAAGGCACAAAACATTGCAGTCAACAACCACACGTAGCCCGAATGGACTGCCCCTCTATCTCCTTACCTGATAGGAAACGCAATGAATTTTTAAATCTAGGCTTGAAAATTATCGAAAAGCTGCCTAATAATGCACAAAACACCAAAAAAACACCACCAGTTCAACCAGCTTCCACCCAACACACTTTCCGTCCAATCAACTATTGTCAACATTTAGGCAAATCTGGCGCACAACATTGGAGATCAGCCATTCCTGTGACGTTTAAGTACTTTACGCGATTTTTGCCATTGCTTGATCAAGGGATGACTACTTAAAGTAATTTAAAATAAACTGTATTGAAAATATCTTTTTCAAGACGTGTAACACCATCCAAATGTTCATTGAGCTAGGTACTTGGTAACAGCTTCCAGTACAAAAGTACATCACTATTGCGCTTTACGTGACACCTAGTGGACAGTTTGCAAAACTATAGTTCACTAAGGCGACGTCCGCCAGAAGATGTCGCCGTGAGCATTCCAGGATCGCCGAACGAGTGGTCGTCAGGCAGGGCCTCGGCGATTTTAGGACTAAAGTACGTATCGCTAAAGTACGTAGGACAAAAGTACGTATGCAAATGTTCGTACGCAAATATACGTAGGCGATAAAGTTCGTATGCCAAAAGTACGTACGCAAATGTTCGTACGCAAAAGTACGTATGAAAAAGTACGTAGTGCATAAAGTACGTATGCCAAAAGTACGTACGCAAATGTTCGTACGCAAAAGTTCGTATGCAAAAGTACGTAGTGTATAAAGTACGTATGCCAAAAGTACGTACGCAAATGTTCGTACGCAAAAGTTCGTATGCAAAAGTACGTAGTGTATAAAGTACGTATGCCAAAAGTACGTACGCAAATGTTCGTACGTAAAAGTACGTATGCAAAAGTACGTAGTGTAAAAAGTACGTATGCCAAAAGTACGTACGCAAATGTTCGTACGCAAAAGTTCGTATGCAAAAGTACGTAGTGTAAAAAGTACGTATGCCAAAAGTACGTACGGTTCGTATGCCAAAGTACGTAGTGTATAAAGTACGTATGCTAGAAGTAGGGTATAGTAGTGTAAGTTGGGCCACTTTTTCTTTATTGCTGCTCTGTTGCCATACTACAGGGAACTGATGATAAATTCATATACCAAATAATATAGCTTTGTCCATTTCGCCCATTTACTCATCGAGAAATTTTGCTATGCCTTGTAACAAATGCTCTTTAAATAAAGAATAAGAAAGGTTTTACACATTGATTAACTTAACCCAAGGGTTTGGTTACGGAGCGAGCGAAGCGAGCGGAGTCTCATACTGAACCAGTATAACGCCTTTTGGGGCGACTAACGGAGCGAGCGAGAGGGTGGGCCTTGCACGTGCGAAATTGCGAGGGGGTACCTCCAACTGACTTGTGCACGGCACCCTACTAACTGGTCTCTAGCGATGTGCCAAATTTGGGCACAATCGGCCCAGCCGTTCTCGAGAACTGAAAGCGGCACCCTGCACGTGCGCACGTGCAAAATGGGTCCCAACTGACTTGTGCACGGCACCCTACTAACCGGTCCCTAACCGTGTACCAAATTTGAGCGCAATCGGTCCAGCCGTTCCCGAGATCTGGAAACGACCCCTGCACGTGCGCACGTGCAGCAGCACCCCAACTCTGGCACATGTATATGCAGTGCCTAGTGGGTGCCTACCTACATGCCAACTTTCAGCGCAATCGGCCAAGTAGTTACCGAGATATTGCAACAATAACAAAACTGACACCTCTTCGTTTTGCACGTGGCACGTGCATAAGGGGTCACCCACATGCATCGGGAATAGTCCAATACTTGGTAGAAGGAATGAAGCTACCCTACAAAAATTACCGCGTGTAAATCGGTCAAGTGGTTGCTGAGATATAAGCCTCGCAAAAGCGTGACCACGGCCGGCCGGCCGCTCATACTCAGAAATTTCCGTTAATCTAAGGAAAGACTACGCTCGCTTCGCTCGCTCCGTAATTAAGGGAAAATCCTGAGTATGAGCGGCCGGCCGGCCGGCCGGCCGGCCGTGGGGACGCTCTTCAAAAGCTAATATCTTAGGAACGGGACATCCGATTGACAAGCGGTCTTCTTTACTGAATGTCACTTGGACGTAAAAGTTCTGTGGTGTGATGGCCACCATGCGTTCTTGCCAACCACCGCACGTGGCGCGTGGTAAAGTTGGACATTTTTTAAGAACCCCCAAAATTGCAACCTCAATAACGGCACAACGGTTGGGCCGATTGAATTGAAACTCGGTACACAGTTAGGTCTCCATCAGATAATTCATCTGCATGTGTTAAGGTTGGGGTGCTACAGCACGTGCGCACGTGCAGGGGGCGCTCCCAGATCTCGAGAACGGCTGGGCCGATTGCGCTCAAATTTGGTACACGGTTGGGGACCAGTTAGTAGGGTGCCGTGCAAAAGTCAGTTTGGACCCCGCTTGCACGTGCGCACGTGCAGTGTGCCGCTTCCAGATCTCGAGAACGGCTAGGCCGATTGCGCTGAAATTTGGCACATCGCTAAAGACCGGTTAGTAGGGTGCAGTGCACAAGTTAGCTGGAGGTACCCCCTCGCAATTTCGCACGTGCAAGGCCCATCCTCTCGCTCGCTCCGTTGGTCGCCCAAAAGGCGTTTTACTGGTACGTACTTAATACCCTACGTACATTTGCTATACGTACTTTTGTCCGTGACGTACTTTTGTCCACACGTAGGGTAGACCGGGGCAAGTCGCCCCGCCGAGGTAAAACGCCTCACCGATGTTTCTCGGAACTGGCAGGGTTCTGGGGAAAGATCCTCTCTTCTGTTAACCCGGCCGGGCCCGGGGGGTAATTCCAACCACCGCAGCCCGCGGAGGGGCGTTTTCGCCCCCCCCCCTCTAACTCCGTAAATAAGGGAGCTATGCACACAAAAGCGATACCAAACGAAATGTCCTTACGAGACGATTCTAAAGCACCCAAAATTTTTTTACCTCAGGTCAATTTTCAAGGTCAGAGGTCAAGGTCAAAGCCAAAAACCGGCACATGTGTAGTGATCTCAAAGTGAGCGTTCTAGAGGACGGCAGGATGCATAAAACCGGCAAAATTGGTTGTCAAACGAAAGAAAAGAATCTGAGAATTCCGAAAATGTGCTCAACATCAAAGGTCAAGGTAAAGGTCATGCTCAAAATTGACCTCAAACTTTGCACTTTTTCGTACATCTTGCGTGTCAACTTCCAAGATGTTTTGAAATGTTTTGAGGCTTATCACGTCCCTATTTATGGTTCATCTTACGATACAAGGCTGCTCAAAGGTCAAGGTCACAAAAGAGAGTCCTTGCTAGAGGCTATTTCACTGATTCAAGTTAGTAATAATAAATAAGACAATTTTGCCATCCGAAGGCTCTAAATAAAGGCTTAGAGGAAAATAGATGCCAGATTCGTGATCAGCGGGTACGAGTCCATCATAAACGACTTTTGATGTGTCAAGGTCAACCAAAGGTCATTCGAGGTCACATGAGATCAACATAAAACTTGCCCGTTTCCAAACAAAATATATATCATTCGACGCGGCTTGACAAGGCAAATGCGATGGCACCACTGCCGTAGCTCTAGGACCATTTTTGTCGAAGTTATTTGCGAAAAAACTAAAACCACACCTCGGGGTCGTTGACCTGACCTCTGACCTCAGGTCACTAAAACTATTTTTGTATTTTTCTCTAGGTCAAACGCTACACAGCCGTGCTCGTAATTTGTCTTTATCTCTAAAACTCTATTTTTAGCAGCTATTTGAAGTTCGCGTTTGTGACACCGAAGTTTGCCGTGCAGGGGTCTAGAAAAATCGACTTTGTGACGTCATCAATAAGGCTAGGTCCAAATTTTTTACTTCAGAAGATGTCAAATTGATGGGAGAAAAGGTACTGAAAGTTTCGTTTTCCTATCTCTAAGCGTTCGGGAGCTATCGCAAATATTCGCCAGGGGGGGGGCGAAAAACGCCCCCCCCGGGCCCGCAAGGGTTAATCTAGTGTATGGGGCTCCTTGCCTCAGGCCGTGGGGCGTTTTGCCCTGGGGTTGGGGCAAAATGCCCCATTTGCAGTTGCTTCACAAAGCACTTCCTAGCTGGGAGTCCGATCATAAGTGAATGAATTTGAGGGGTGAATTTAAAGTAAAACGTCCAAAGAACACATTGAGCACAAATTTGGCCTTTCAGGTGATGTGAGACAAAAGTAGGTACCTATGTAGCAAAATAAATTCACTGGGGCGTCTTGCCCAAGGCTACACTACTTTAAACCCCACGTACATTTGCTATACGTAGGCTTTTGTACGTGACGTACTTTTGTCCATACGTACTTTATACCCTACGTACTTCTGCAATACGTACTTTTGTCCGTGACGTACTTTTGTCCATACGTACTTTTTACCCTACGTACATTAGCTATACGTACTTTTGTCCGTGACGTACTTTTGTCCGTGACGTACTTTATACAGTACGTACTTCTGCGATACGTACTTTTGTCCCTGACGTACTTTTGTCCATACGTACTTTATACTGTACGTACTTCTGCGATACGTACTTTTGTCCTTGACGTACTTTTGTCCATACGTACTTTATATTGTACGTACTTCTGCGATACGTACTTTTGTCCCTGACCTACTTTTGTCCATACGTACTTTATACTGTACGTACTTTTGCGATACGTACTTTAATCCTACGTACTTTTGCTTACGTACTTTTGTCCTACGTACTTTAGCGATACGTACTTTTGTCCGTAACCCGGCCTGCCTCGGCATTGGTTACTCCGTCTCCGGACTCGTCGATGGGCTGTGTGCGTGAGCGACCACAATTACCTACCATTCCACTCATTCCTCTTTCCATTCCAAGGGGCTTTGGACCAGCCTGAGTTGCACTCATAGGTGTCGATTTGTATACCTACTTTTGGGTGTGCCCGGGCACCCCCAATACTGAGTTGGGCACCCCCCAAGGGGCTCTGGGCACCCACAACCAAAGTTGGTACTGGCATCACGATTCTTTGAACGCATTGTTTTCTCTAATTCATAGGCGCGGGAACGGGGGGGGGGGCAGTGGGGACAGTTTACCCCCCCCCCCCCAACTCTGGGGCCGTGGGGGCGGTGCCCCCACAGCTTTAAGACGGAATATCGCACTTTTTGCAAATGTTTTCTTTTTTGATGAAAACTCCAAGGGATGAAAAATAAGTGGCCTAAAACCGGCGAGAAAACTAGGTTTGGGGGTACCCTTAGGTTGGTTTCAATTATGGTGTGCCCCCCACCCCAC